ACCCTTGGCCTTCTTGTTATAGAAGTGTTTGTGACCGTCTTTGATGGGTTTCGCTTTCCTAGTACAACTAATTTTATAGGTCTGGTTCAGTACTCTTTTCCAGTTTTCTGTTTTGTAAGTCTCTTTCCATTTTGTTGTGTGCTTGACTTTCTCTCAAGCTCTACCCCCCAAGTTTCTGCAGAGAAGGGTCTTCTGCACTTCCTTCAGCTCCTGTGGACTTGCAATCGGGATGTCATTTTTCAAGACTTTAAAAGGTTTGATATTTTGCTTGAACTTTTTCCCTTGAGCTCTAGTGGTGACTGAAGTTACCACATCAGTCTCTTACTGTCGAGTTTCTCCAAAATTTCTATTACCTGGTATGTTTCCAATCACCAAGTCGTATATTGGTTCTTTGATACACATGGCTTCAAGGTCTCCTACTACTCACCTTTATTTTTGCTGTGGGAAACTTTCTCACTGTCCCATCAGTTAGCACACATAGGTGTACCTTGCTTGTCATCTCATCATCAGATACTAGACTGGTTCTCACTGCTGTATTACTGCACCCAATGTCTTGTAGAACCTTCACTTTCTTGTCGCCAATGTATCATTCACCTACTGGCATGTTGTGATCTGGTATCACCTCTCAATGTTTGTCACATGCTCCAATCTCTACCGGCACTTCCTACTTGTGGTGAATCTGACAAGTTGTCTTGATTCTGTTTCTTCTGGCAGCAGCATTCAGGGTGACAGTCATTCTTTTCTTGTTTCTTGCCAGCACTACCTTTGTAAGTAGCTCCTGCTGCTTTATGTTGAGATTTCTGCTGTTGCTTGTTAGTGCTGGACTTGCACTCCTTTGCAATGTGCCCTATTTTATAACAAATATAACATCTCTTCTCACATTTGTCTGTTAACCTCCTGTCACCTTTGGTGGACTCCTGCTCCTGATCAGCCACCAGTGATTGAGTTTTAACTGGATATTCTTGGACTTGCCAGTTATACTTCCTCCATGGGCTTCCTTATACTGTTCTACCAGCTTGATCATCTTGTTCATGTCTTTTGGTGCTCTCTCCGTTAGGAACAGTGACATGTCAGTTGAGCACGTGCTCATCAACTGTTCACGTCTGCCAGTCCTTCAAAACTACTGTCACACTTGGCCATGTCAGTCCATCTGGCAAAGTATCACTGTAGACATGCCACAAACTGAAATACAGTTCCTCCAGTGTCAGGTTTGACTTCTCTGAACTTCCAACGAAAACCTTCTTCAGTAAGTTTATATCATTTCAGCAATGCCACTTTTAATTTGTTATAGTCCATGGCATCTTCTGACATCATACCCGCATATACTTGTAACCCTTTTCCTGTGGGAAGTGGACTGAGACAGACTGCTCGGTTGCTTTTGTCCCAGTTCTGACTTTGGGCAAATCTTTCGTATCTCTCCAGGAAAGCATCCATGTCATTTTTCTTTTCATCAAATTTGGGCAGCTTGAGTCAGCTGGCCCTGATCCTATTGTCATTCTTGGGTCCTCCTCCTTTCTGTTGGGTGAGCTTGGTTATCTCAATTTGTGCTCTTATTCTTTCTCTCTCTGTTTTTAGTCTCTCCTTTCTCTCATTTTCTTCTTTCAGTCTTCCTTTTTTCCTTTCTTCCTCTGTAGTTGTTGTTGTTAGTGAACTACAAGAGTTTGTTAAACATCTTTTAATCCAAGATGCTCACCTCTTTCGATCCATTCATGAAAATCTGAAATGGTTATATAGCATAATTGTAATCTCAACACTATTTTTGCTACCACTGCAGTTGTATGTTTCTAGGCCTACTTATTTCCACTGTCATTCATGTCTTCTATCACCTTTTACCACTGTATAATCCTGGCTGATTTTCCAAATGTCAGGATGTTAAATATGTAATTGGCTGACGATTCTTCTACAGTAGGTATCTATGACTTGTTGGCAATAAATTTGTCAATAAACAGACTGCAAACACTCCACTTGTTTTAAAATATTATATTCAAAACAAGTCAAACTATGTACAAAAATTCTTTACACTATGGATATCACAGTTGTATCTCAAACTCTAAATAATTATCTTTGTCAATAATACTTAGGCTGATTCAATTACTTTAGAATCATATTGACAAGATTAACTATTTTCCTCTACTCTTATCACAATAGTATCAGGGAATAATTTACTTATGCTACCCCATGGGTTACGCCAGTTGTATCCTGAACTTTAAATAATTGTCTCCTTCTTGTCAAAGTCCAAAGATGTGGATTCAATTACTTTAGAACACACTTTGACAAGACAAATTATTCTCCTTATCTCTATTAAGATATGAAACTCGCTAAAAATATTGCCTATTATGGCTAATTACTCACACACCAGCTAACTTCACATTTTCTTTTGCTAACTAATTTTCTGAATGAACTGCAATTTACTTCATATGATTTGCAGTCGCTTGGATGCCTATATTTATAGGTAGCCCAACCGAGGCCTCAAACTTTCTCTAAGCTACGTGAGTGGCACTGTAAGGGCACAATACTCACTTAAGGTAATGAGAAAAATACTGATGATTCAAGTAACGTGACATCAACAATATTAGTAAAGCCTAGACAATAATGTAATTGCAAACACAATGTATGACCCATACAGAATTACGTAATGACATTTGTCAAAACTAACACTTTTAAAACAATCTATCTTAAACACTCCTGTCTTAAAAACTAAACAATCATTAAATATTAACTCACAAAATAAATTATATAATAATGCCTACACTAAACAGTCCTGTATATCCAACAATGGCATATTCTTTGCCACTTGAGGCTTTTACTGCTGTCAAATTTGAATTTACCTACCAAATAATATTTTACGTTTTTCCATGTTTTCGTGCCATGCACTAGTTTCAGTAATGGCAGGTTTCACCATCTTTATGATATGTCACTGAAGAAAGATGTTTAAAGTTAGCACTAATTTTATCCTCTTCACATCAACCTGATTCTTGAATTATCTATACTAGTACGTTTATTTAAATATTTATCCAGATTTATTCCAAACTCTGTAACACCGTGGAAACATGCCAAAATTTACATAATTTAATTAATTTGGATTCCTGTTAAGAATGTATATAAACCTTAGTAAATGAAAAGTAGTAAAGTTAAAGTAACCAAATCATCTATACAGAAAGTGTTGGAACAAATGTTTATACTTTTATTTTCATGTAATTTGTTACACCAATGTCAACTTCAGTCAAGCAACACAAAAAAAATGCTGCTTTTAAACCATTTATTCTATATATATATATATATATATATATATATATATACTAACTAACTAAATAATATAGTATACGTGTCGTATTAATTTTAATTTAAGTTAAG